ATACGAGGGGAGCTCAGTCAGATACTGTGAAACGAAGAAAGTATTTGGTGTGCCGGTAGATGCAGTATCTCTGAAATGCAAAAGTACAGTTTTTATAATATGAGGCATTGAGACAGAACGCGAAATAGGCATTCTTTGACAAAATAGATGAGAACTACGGAGGATGATGGACGAGAGGAACAGGTTGGAAGACTATTTCGGCCTCAAAAAGTCGAAGGCCAGTAGGGCGAAAGTAATCATTCTACTCGTCAATGCGCGAATGTAAAAGCAACACCGTAAAGGTGCGGTATTTTCTTTCAGCTTCCTGTCACAGTCCCGGGACAGTTATTCAAATTATTTTCTACTACTACAGTAGTTTAGGATTAAAAAAATAAACTTCGACTTGAGAATCGCAGTGGCACCACATGAATTGGCCTAAAAGCTAACGGCCGCTTTTTCGGATAGCTTGCAAAGTGCAAGTCCGCCGTAAAAATGCACACGCGACGTCGTTTGTAGAGCAGTTCGCAGTGGGAACTACTCCTACTACTACTACTACTACTACTACCAATCCCATTAAAGGTTTGCAATATAAGAAAGAACGTCCGCCCATGATTCATTAAATCGAATAGGCAGACGAAAAGGCCCGCATCACGGTAGGGAAAGCAGACAATTATACACCTAAGGTTCATTACTAACATAAGACGAACCGTCATTCGGTGTCTTTGATGTTACTGTTTCGCTTATTCGAAAAGGGCACTAACACGTCCATAATTTTGAAAGTACAATCAGTTTGTTGCATAACTCGACCATTTTTCAGACCCACTATCAGGCTTTCACATGGACCCTTAATGCGAACTATCACTCCACTTAGTTCTTTGTATATAGTTGGAATCCAGCACACGCGTGATAAACAGGGATTATTCCAATTGCGACTTTGTTAGGATAACAGAAAACATAACGAGAGAGCCCTGTAACCAGTCGGTGAGCGCCTGTCTACCATGGTGCATATTCCCGATCGAAACCGGTAAGGCAGCGAGCCCGCGCCGCAGTGGTTAGAGCGTTGGACCTCCAACTAACAAGGCCCGCCACTTTTGGGGCAG